CTTTCATCCATCCATCCATCCATCCATCCATCCATCTACTCACTTATTTTTCTCTTTCTTTCCTTCCTTCCTTCCTTCCTTCCTTCCTCCCATCCATCTGTACATTGATTTTTTCCATCTACCCCTTATTTCATTTATTTTTTATTCTTCCACCCATCTAATCATCCATCCATCTTGTCATTCACCCATCCTTTTACCTACCCATCCACATATTCATTGATAATTCCATCCACTTATGATTCCTTCATCCATCCATCTTTTCATCCATCATCCATCCATCCATCCATCCATCCTTCTACCTACCTATCCATCCACTTGCCCTTTCTTCCTCTTCTACATGCCGCCAACATGTTTTAAGCACTGAGATGTAGGGGAATCAGAGATGAATCAGAGCTGTGTCTCCCATTGAGGAATTCCTGATATTTCACTAGAGGAATGAATGATGAAAACCAAGGTAGGGAGTTTAATGGCCAGCTGGTAGAGGCTGAGGATGGGGCTAGTTTATTCATTCAATAAACATCATCCTAGGCTCCAGCGACTAAAGCAGACCCATTTCCTGCTCTCAAGGATCCCAGATCCTACCAGGGTTGTTTGAACACAGCCTTAAGTAAAATTTAAGACAAAAGCTTAGGGGAGGACCTGCTGTCAGTAAGGGGAGAAAATTCAAGGAAGTGGTGTTTAAAATGGTCCTTGAAGAGCCAGTAGAATTTGGACATAGTAAGATGGTAAGGAGGAGTCCCATGGCTCTGTGGGGATGTAAGTAGGGAGAGTCGTTTTTGGTGCTAGAAGAGTTTTACAAGGAAAACACCCACTTAGATAAAAACTTCCAAGAGATATAGCATCAATTTATAATGCATTCTCAGCCCCATCCTAATTGTATCTACCATGTTCTGTGGAGGCAGAAAGAGGTAGTTACTTCTGATTTTGGAGTTAGATAAAATTGTATTTGAATACCAGCTTGGTTCCTTCTTTGCTGTGTGACCTTGAGAAAGAGACTTGCCCTCTCTGAGTCTTAATTTCTTTCTCTGAAAAATGGAGGATTGTGAGACTGAGAAGTAGCTTATGAGCAGTGCCTGGTCCCTGGGTGGGGAGCCGAATAAATAGGAGCTCTTCTGAATATAATTATATTTCTTTTGGGACACATCCTTAAATAGGGGATGACAGTGGCAAATCTGATTCATTCTATGGAAGTTAACATATGAGCTTCTTGGGAGAAGACAGCAGCTCTGTAATATGTGGTTTGAGGGGGAGGTGTTGTAAGTCCATTGCCTACAGAAGTGGAAGTGATCACACTCTGCTGGAGAAACCGGAGCTGGCTGGATGGCTTAGTGATAGCAGAGTTGAATGGATGGGGTTTCAGCAGCTGAGGAAGGAAGGGGGAAGGGGACGAAGGCTCCTTAAGAGTCTAGCATGAGCCAGACACTGTGCTGAGCAGTTGGCATGCATTTTTGCCCCTGATCCTCCATCTCTTCCTGCAAGGGGTTGTCTTCCCATTTTGTAAATGAAGAAACTGAGGCTCAGAGAGGGGAAAAGTGACTTACTAAAAGTAACAAGGGTCAACCTTTTTGTTTTTTCCAGTATTCATGTTTTTCTCCCCTACCCCCCGTCACAGCTTTATTGAGATATAATTGAGGTATAACGTTGTGTAAGTTTAAGGTGTACAACATAATGACTTTATATACCTATATGTTACAATGTGACTAAAACCGTAAGATCAGCTAACACATCCATCACCTCACATTATTACCCCTGTTTTTTGTGGTGAGAACATTTAAGATCTACTCTCTTAACAACTTTCAAGTATATAATACAGCATTGTTAACTCTGGTCACCATGCTGTATATTAGATCCCCAGAACTTATTCCTCTTATAACTGGAAGTGTGTACCCTTTGACCAGCATCTCCCCACCTCCCCAACGCCCAGTGTCCACATTCTTAATCACCATGATAACTGCCTATAAGCCAATTAAGAAAAATTTCCCATTTCTAATCCTTGGATGAGGGGGCCTTGGGTTTCTTTCAACCTGGGAGACCCAACTGGCAAGCAGGCCTTTCAGTAAAAAACAGGAGAGTCCTAGAAACTTACCCGAGATGATTGCAGCTCATATTCTTCTCACCATGGTCTGGAGGATGTCCTGGGGCCATTTGTATTCCTCTGACTTTCTACTGGAAAGTAGCGTGGAGCAGCCAGGGTTTCACACTGCCAACCCGGAGGCACCAGTGGCAAGCATTTGTATCTATCTGCTGCCTGCCACAGCCATCCCGTTCTGGAGGGGATCTGTGGCTGTTGCCAGGACCTTCTTCGGGCCTGAGTGACTTCAAGCCATGGTGGTGATAAGCCTTGGGGGAGCTGAGGCTGCAGGTTTCTTGAGCATTAACTCAGATCTGTCTGACTTTCAAGCCCACTCCATGGGGCATGTTTGAGGGAGAGGTCAGAGACCCACGTGGATGGCAGGAAGCATGTTGGAGACAAAGCCTGTGAGGTGGGCAGGGCCAGACCACCTGGGACCTTAACTGAGACTTGGTTCTTAGAGGCATGCGAGGGCCAAGGTCAGTTCTGTATATAGAAGGACCCTCTCAGATCAGGTGGGGACAGACCGAAGAGGAGAGGAGAGACCGTGAGGAAAAGGAAGAGATTGCAATGATGGTAGTGGGACAGAGCAGAGCTGGAACTGGGGCCATGGGAACAGTAAGGAGGGTAGGCAGTGAGAGAGTTAGGGGCTAGAGAGATGGGGCTTGAGGACCAATGAGCTGTGGGGAGTGAAGGGAGGGACAAGACACACCTGGGGGTCTCCCTCATTGACTGGGTGGAAAAAGGTTCTGTCCCTGAGATAGAGGACCCAGGGGAAGGTCAGTTTTGGGGAAAGACCCTGAGCTTAGTATGCGACATCGTGGCCATGAAGGGCCTGGAGGAGGTCCAGGTGATAAATGGTGACATGTTAAGGCAGAATATAATACAGGATATTATAAATCTTTTTTTCATACATATATGTATTTTTAAACTTTATTGGGGAACAGTGTGTTTTTCCCAGGACCCATCAGCTCCAAGTCAAGTCATTGTCCTTCAGTCTTGCGGAGGGCTCAGCTGAGCTCCAAGTCCAGTCGCTGTTTTCAATCTAGTTGTGGGGCGTGCAGCCCACCATCCCATGTGGGAGTTGAACCAGCAACCTTGTTGTTAAGAGCATGTGCTCTAACCAGCTGAGCCATCCGGCCACCCACTGGCAGCTCAGCTCAAGTCGTTGTCTTCAATTTAGTTGTGGCGGGCACAGCTCACTGGCCTATGTGGGAATCAAACCGGCAACCCTATTGCTCAGAGCTCGCATTCTAACCAACTGAGCCACCCGGCCGCCCCTATAAATCTCTTTTTTCCTTCTCTTGAAACTGTGAGAAAAGTAGGGGAGATCCATAGACTCTTAGAAAAATGTCACTCTGAATTTGCTTCTTGGGTTTCAAAAGCTGTGTGGTGTTAGGCATGTTACTACCTCTTTCTGGGCCTGTGTTTTCTCAACTCTCAACCTGAGAGGTTATGCTGGTCAAGCTGTAGATTCCTCCCAGTTTGGAACTTCTTTCTATGGTTATTATTGATAACAATGATCCAAAGTGGATACCGTTATTATTCCCATTTTATAGATGAGGAAGCTGAGGTTCCTGAGGTTCAGTGTCTTGCCTGAAGTCATTCAATTGGTGTAAGTGGAAGACGGATTGGAATTGCTTCAAAGCCCACTGCTCATCTCCACTCCACTAGATTACCAAGTTCCCCCATACTAATTTTTGGAACAACTGAAATGAATTGAAAGTCCTTCCTTTGCTTTGGAGATAGATGTGGAGCAAGTGGAGACACAAGGGAAAAATAACTCGGTGGCACAAGTGCCCTGGGACCCAGCAGTGTCTAGACTTGGCTTTACTGCTCCTTGGACCCAATTGCACGCTTCAGATATTTCAGTCCCTTGTTGAGTGCTCACACTTTGCATCCATTCAATTGTCGGATCCCAGTTTTAAAGTCCTCTTGATTTTCCTCACTCATTTTAAGGAACTCCAAGGTCTTCCAGAGTCCCTCTAATGTTCAGTTTTTTTCCAACCTCATTTTCTGCTACTGTCCCCTCTTTCTTCTCACACATACCTCAAGTTTCAAGAAATCAGAGTGGCTCATGTTTGGGATCATATCCTGTGTCTTCCTGCACCCAGGCCTTTGTTCAGGCTGCTCCTGCTGCCTTGATTTCTTTTCTTACCTTAGATGCACACCTCCAAATCCTACCGCTCTTTCAGAAGCCCCACCTCAAGGCCCCTCCAGTACGAGGCTTCTTTGGATCACTCAAACCTCTGTGATTGTACCCTCCCCTGCGCCCTAATCACATTCTATGCCCACCTCCGAGGGCACTGATCACTCTGAGGGTAGGTATGTGATTCTGGGACATATATTCCTGGAATCAGCCCCTTCAGGCCACGCGCTGTATCCAGTTTCTCTCTCCATCCCTCCCACTTACTGCCTGATCCATAACCTACTTCAATAAATGTTAAATGAATGAATGATTCCCTTTCCTTCTTCTTGGCTCTAAACCACTGGTTTGCACTCTGCCCCTGAGTTGAATGACCTTATGCTTATAATAAACCTGACTTCTTAAAGACCCCAGACTCTGCCCAACAACACCTCCTTTATATGGACTTTAAGTGTCAGGCATCCCAAAGAGAAGCAAAACAGATATTGATCCGATATTCCCACCCTCCCCCTGACTCTTGCCCCCTCTCCCTCTCACCCTTGCAGCCTGTGGGAGCTCTGAGGCCTCAGCTTATCTGGACGAGTTGCGTTTGGCTGTGGCTTGGAACCGCGTGGACATTGCCCAGAGTGAACTCTTCCGGGGTGACATCCAATGGCGGGTGAGGGGTCAGGACCTGGGAGTTGTGGATCCTGACAAGGGGGATGCACGTTTGGCCCTGTCTTCCATTATGGCCTGTCCAGCCTTCTCCGATTGTCCATCTGTTCCCATCTTATCCCCTCTCTCCCCAACCATCCATCCATCCGTCACTCATAGCTCTGTATCCCCATCTCTTGTCCTTAACCTCTGGCCTCACTTGGCCTTCTCTCTGTACTCATCTCTTCCCCCATTCATCCCACCCCTGCCAGTCCGTCCACCTGGAGGCCTCCCTCATGGATGCCCTCCTGAATGACCGGCATGAGTTTGTTCGCTTGCTCATCTCCCATGGCCTCAGCCTGTGCCACTTCTTGACGCCGACGCGCCTGGCCCAGCTCTACAGTGCAGCGCCTCCCAACTCGCTCATCCGCAGCCTTCTGGACCAGGCGTCCCACGGCGCGGGCACAAAAACCCCAGTCCTTAAACCCTCTGCGGAGCCCCGACTCCCTAACGTGGGGCAAGTGCTTCTGATGCTGCTGGGGAAGATGTGTGCGCCGAGGTACCACGACTGGGTTACTGGGGATCCACACCACGACCATGGCTGCATGGAGAGCCACCAAGGCGGGGAGAACGTAAGGACCCGGAGAGGCTGGGTGGGGAAGACTGAGAACGACCCAGGGGTGGGGCTATGCCAGGGGGCGTGGCCAGAGAACAGGGTGTGTGACTGAACTGGGGTTGGGCTGATGATTGGCCCTGGGCCAAGCAGGAGGCTGGGGCGGGAACAATTCTCACCGTGCCTCCCTTGCCTGCAGACCCATCTGCTCTCTGTCAGGGCCACCTCTGATCTCATGCTGGACGCTGTCCTCGGGGAGACCCCCTGGAGTGACCTGTTTCTCTGGGCACTGCTACTGAACAGGGCTCAGATGGCCTTGTACTTCTGGGAGATAGTGAGTGCTGACTTGATCTCTGATTCTACTCTCTCTTACATTCCTGTCCTTTAGTTCTACGGAATTGTGATATGATTCCCGGACCCTCAGATGTCACCCTGACCTCCATCCCGTCTTCCATTCCTGATATGACACCAACTGCTGCTTCTTCCTTTTTTTCTTCTTTTCTTTTTCCATATTATGCATTACTTTACCCTCTTTTTTTTTTTCTTTTTTTTTTTTTTAGTTGAGCCATCCTGCCACCTGTTGGCAGCTCAGCGGCAACTCAGCTCGGGCCAGGCATCGAACCGCTGTTGCTCAGAGCTCGCACTCTTGAGCGAGCTCTTAACTAACTGAGCCACTCGGCTGGCCCTCATATCATGCATTTCTTGTAACTTGCCTTTTCCATTAACAATACCGGGGGTGCCCCCCGAAAATGTATACACATGACTTGGATTCATCTTTTGTTATTGGCATATATTGAGCATTGTAATTTTAATAGTTTTTTTCCTTTCTTAAAGTGTCTATACATTTTTTTGGCACCCTCTGTATATATTGGGCATTCTCTCTTGTTCATACATGTGAATCAACCTTATTCTTTCAAAATGGTTGCCTGTAGGAGGAAGTTAGACATTATCCTGTAGCCAATAGGGAGTCTCTTAAACATTGGTACACTTGCAATTTAGATACATTGTTGTAACTGCAATGTAGAGGGGGACAAAACTAGAGGCCAAGGAAGTCAAGTAAGAAGGTAAAGCTGGGGTCCTTTAAGCAGCCCAGATGGACTACAGCAGGTGGGATAGAGGTGTTGGGACACATTTGAGAAGTTTGTGTGCGAAGTTAAAAAAAAAAAAGTTATGGGATTTAAATAGGATCTAAAAGAGAGCTTATTTTAATGCCATAGAAATATCTTGAAAGGATTTCTTAAGCCTTGGGTTGCTTTCAGCCTAGTGGGTCATGTGTTAAATATAGACTTTTTTCATTAAGATAAAATTCATATCACATAAAACGCACCATTTAAATCATGTAAAATTGTACAATTCAGCAGCCTTGAGTACACTCACAATGTTATGCAACCGCCACCTCTATCTAGTTCCAGAACACTTTCATCACCTCAAAAGGAAACCCCATACTCATTAAGCAGTCACTTCCTTTCCCTCCTTCCCCCAACCCCTGGTAACCACTAATGTGCTTCCTGTTTCTATGGATTTGCCAGTTTTGGATATTGTATGTAAATGGAATCATATAATATGTGTGTGGCCTTTTCCATTTGGCTTTTTTCACTTAGCATAGTGTTCTCATAGTTCTCCATGTTGTAGCGTGTATCATAATTTCCTTTCTTTCTAAGGAAGAATAATATTCCATTGTATGATATATTACATTTTGTGTATCCATTCATCTGTTGATGGACACATGGGCTGTTTTGACTTGTTAGATATTGTTACTAATACTGTCATGAACATTGGTGTACAAATATTTGTTTCAATCCCTGCTTTCAACTGTTTTGAGAACATACCAAGGAGTGGAATTGCTGGACCACATGGTAATTCTAGGTGCAATTTCTTTGAGGAACTGCTATGCTGTTTTCCACAGCAGCTGTACTATTTTACATTTCCACCAGCAGTGCATGAGGGTTCTAGTTTTTCCACATCTTCACCAACACTTATTTTCTTTTGTTTGTTTGCTTTTGATAATTGCTATCCTAATGAACGTGAAGTGGTATCTCACTGAGGTTTTGATTTGCATTTTGTTAATGATTAGTGATATTGAGCATCTTTTCACATGCTTATTGATTATCTACATGTCTTTGGAGAAATGTCTATTCAAGTCTTTTGCCCATTTTTAAATTGGGTTGTTTGCCTGTTTTGTTGTTGAAGTGTAAGAGTTCTTTATATTTTTTGGATATCAATCTCTTATTAGATATATGATTTGCAAATATTTTTTACCTTCTGTGGGTTGTCTTTTCACTCTGTTGATAGTGTCCTTTGCTGCACAAAAGTTTTAAATTTTGATGAAGTCCAATTTGTCTATTTTTTCCTTCAGTTGCTTATACTTTTAGTATTGCAAAATCCAAGGTCATAAAATTTTATCTCTATGTTTCCTTCTAAGAGTTTTATGATTATTATATATATTATAATTATTTAATCCTACATGTTAATTTTATTGCGATTCCTTGTGATGAATCACTTCTCTTTTGCTGTTTTAAAGATTCTCTCTTTGTTTTTTACTTCAAAAAATTTGATTTGATTATAATGTTTTTCAATGTGGATTTTTTTGAATTTTCCTATTTGGGGTTCCTTAATCTTCTTGGATGTGACATCTTTTATCACATTTGGGAAATTTTAGGCCATTATATCTTCAAATATTCTTTCTGTTCTGTTCTCTCTGTCCTCTCCTTTTGAGACTCCTATTATGCATATATTGTCCCACAGATCCCTTAGGACCTGTTTATTTTTCTTCATTCTTTTTTCTTTCTGCACCTTAAACTGGATAATCTCAGTTGACCTATTCATAGCTTCCGGTTCACAAATTCTTTCTTCTGCTTCCTCAAAGCTGTTGTTGAGCCTGTCTAGTAAATTTTCCATTTCAGTTTTTTCACTTTTTAACTTCAGAATTTCTATTTGGCTACTTTTAATAATTTCTCTCTCTTTATTAATATCCTTTGTTTGGTGAGACATCATTCTCTTGGCTTTCTTTAGTTCTTTGCCCATGATTTCCTTTAGCTTTTTGAGCATATTTCAAACAGCTGATTTAAAGTCTTTGTCTGATAAGTCCAGTGTCTGAGCTTCCTCAAGGACAGTTTCTATTAATTTATTTTTTCTTGTGAATGGGCCATACTTTCTTGTTTCTTTGCATGCCTCATAATTTTTTCTTGAAAACTGGCCATTTTGAATATTATAGTGTGACAACTTTGGAAATCAGCTTACCCCCTTCCTCCAGGGTCTGCTTTTGCTTCTTGTTGTGGTTTGTTGTTGGTGTTTATTTAGTGACTTTTCTAAGCTATTTTTGTAAAGTCTGTATTCTTTGTCATGTGTGGCCACTGAAGTCCCTGTTTTGTTACTTAGTGGTCAACTAGTGAATTGACAGAGATTTCCTTAAATGCTTGCAGGGAAAAAACTCAAAACTCTCCCAGTTTGCAGATTTGCTCTGTGTTGGAGATGTCTTTCAACACTTAGGCAGGCTGTTTACAATTCTACCCTAGCTGTCACTTCTGCTTTTGCTAACTAAAGATCAGCCAGAAGTGAAAGCTTAGGGCTTTCTCTAGTCTTTTGTGAGCATGCATCCAGTCTGGGTCATGCATGTAGCCTTCTAGATTCCTTGGTACACGTAAGAGCTTTTCAAACCCTTTATTCCCCCAAGTATCTCCTTCCCTAGCCACTTCCCTCCCAAGCTGTTCAGTATATCTATTATAGCCTAGGATGCTATTCTTTGCCCCAGACAGCTGAGGATAACGCTTTTAACTTTAAATGCTTTCAAACACCACCTGGGAAGCCACTTCTGCCCTGGGAAAGCTCCAAGAACAGTGAAACAAAGGCAAGCTCTTGAACTGTTTCTTCAGGGAGCCACCAGTTAAGTCCACACACACAACCACAATTATTTAAGAGTAATATCTGAATTGCTCCCTCTGGTACCAAAAACCCACACTTTCAAGGCTGCCACTGAACTGGGGAGTTGGCGATGGTATGTAGGTTAGTTAAAATGTCACAGTGCTCTTTTATTAAAATTTAGCAGTTTCTTCATTAAGCATTTTCCTATTTGTTGTAAGTTTTATATTAGATTCTAAAACCTTGAAAAAGTTGGTTCTGACAGTTTGGGCCAGCTTATTTGTTGCTTTTCTGGAGGGATGGAGTTTTGAAGTTCTGTACTCTGCCGTTTTAGGTAACATCTCCAACTGTTTCTTGACCTGTCTATAACCTCTGATGTCATTCTAACTGCAGCCTAGCCCCTCATCTCTGAATGACCTGACTTTTGACATCTTCACCTGGTGTCTAGTTTCTTCCAGTTCCATCTATAAACATTATTTTATCTTTGGGCTCTGTTGACCCTGGTTAATTTCTGACCTCAAGCTATGTCCCTTTCCTTAATTACAGGCTTTCTCCCCATCTCCCTCACCCTTCTGTGAACCTCACTCCAAAACCTGACCCTATCCATGACAACTCTTTTTGTCTCTTCAGGGCTCCAATGCCGTGGCCTCAGCTCTTGGGGCCTGTTTGTTGCTCCGAGTGCTGGCACGCCTGGAATATGAGGCTGAGGAGGCAGCACGGAGGAAGGACCTGGCAGCCAAGTTTGAGGGGCTGGGTGTTGGTGCGTGGGGCATGGGTGCCTGGGGCAGGGACAGGGGGCTGCCATGAAATGGGCGTGTACGTCTCCCCACTCCTCTCATAACCTTGCCCTTCAATCCCCTCATCTCTCCCCTCACACTGTCTTCCTACTCATTTCTCTATCTCTCACATAAATCCCCTGTCCCCAGACCTCTTTGGCGAATGCTACCGCAACAGTGAGGATCGGGCTGCTCGCCTTCTCCTCAGACGCTGCCCATTCTGGGGGGATGCCACCTGCTTACAGCTTGCCATGCAGGCCGATGCCCGTGCCTTTTTTGCCCAGGACGGGGTACAGGTGAGTATCTGAGACATCAATATCCCAAACAGTTCCCACTGGACTCTGGGAGTGGAGAATTAGCCCCTGCTGTTGTGGACAGCCCATGGTCTTGATCAACCCTTCCCCCTGGAGATCACCCCTCTTCCAGAAAGGCTGCTCTTCCCATAAGAAACTCCTCCCTTCATAGGAAAGCCGATCTTCCACTTCCTAAAAACTTCCCCTCCAGATACAGGAATTCCAGATGACTCTATTAGGAAGTCCCAACTCTCACTTGTAAGAAGTCCTTCCCACTTCCTTAAGAGATTCCTAGTTCCAGATCTCAACAATTAGGTTAGTGCAAAAGTAATTGCGGTTTCGGACCGTGAATTTTAAATCATTATAACTAGGCTCAAACACATCTTTATTAATCAAAATAGGAACCATTATAATGAACACTTTTTTGCCAATGAAAAATAAGTTTATTTGTTCCTGTAGCATAAAAATCTGTGCTTCAGGATTCGACAAGCTTTTGGAAAGCATTTTCTGCATCCTGCCGGTTGTGGAAGTGTTTTCCCTGCAAAAAGTTGTCGAGATGCTTGAAGAAGTGGTAATCTGTTGGCGAGAGATCAGATGAATATGGTGGATTGAGGCAAAACTTCGTAGCTCAATTCGTTCAACTTTTGAATCATTAGTTGTGTGACGTGCGGTCAGGCGTTGTCGTGGAAAAGAATTGGGCCCTTTCTGTTGATCAATGCTGGCTGCAGGCGTTGCCGTTTTTTGGTGCATCTCATAGATTTGCTGAGCAAACTTCTCAGATGTAATAGTTTCTCTGGGATTCAGAAAGCTATAGTGGGTCAGACCGGCAGCAGACCACCAAACAGTGACCATGACCTTTTTTTGGTGCAAGTTTGGCTTTGGGAAATGCTTTGGAGCTTCTTCTCGGTCCCACCACTGAGCTGGTCGTCGCCATTGTCATATACAATCCACTTTTCATTGCACGTCACAATCTGATCGAGAAATGGTTTGTTGTTGTTGCATAGAATAAGAGGACACTTCAAAACGATGATTGTTTTGATTTGCAGTCAGCTCATGAGGCACCTACTTATCGAGCTTTTTTACCTTTTTAATTTGCTTCAAATACCAAACGACCATAGAATGGTTCACATTAAGTTCTTCAGCAACTTCTCTTGTAGTTGTAAGAGGATCAGCTTCGATGATTACTCTCAATTGGTTGTTGTCAACTTTTTTTTTTTTTTTAAAGATTTTTATTGGGAAATTGGGGGGATGGGAACAGTGCTGGGGAATTGGGGGAAGGGGAATAGACAAGTTGCTGTCGTTTTTTGTTCTTCAGTCTAGTTGTTGAGGACGTTGCTTCACTGGCCCAAGTTGGCACCATCATTGCGCTCTTCCCAGGCGAGGCAGATCAGTCACCGGCTTCTGGACGGCTGCTCACTGCGGCTGCTGGCCGCTCACGCTGGCTGCTGGCTACACACGGTAGCCCATGGCAACCCACTGCCACAGGGGCTGCAGCCTCTGCCGTCGCCAGCGACTCATGGCTGCCCAGCTCCAGGTTGAGCTGTTGTTCAGCATCTTAGCTGTAGAGGGCAGTGTCACTGGCCCTCATATGTGGGATCCGAACCGGGGCCCTCTGGCGTCCCAAGCCAGTTCTTAACCATCGTGCCACTCGGCCGGCCCGGTTGTTGTCAACTTCTGATGCCTGGCCACTAAGCTCCTCATCTTCAAGGCTCTGTCTCCTTTGCAAAACTTCTGGAACCACCACTGCCTGTACGTTTGTTAGCAGTTCCCCAGGCCAAATGCATTGTTGATGTTGCGAGTTGTCTCTGCTGCTTTATGACCATTTTGAACTTGAATAAGGAAATCGCTCAAATTTGCTTTTTGTCTAACATCATTTCCATCGTCTAAAATACATATAAAATAAACAGCAAGTAATAAGTCATTAGCAAGAAAACATAAAGTGAGAAATGTGCATTAAAATGATGTATAACATAACCACATTTATTTAAGAATGTATTCCAAAATCAAAGGCAAATTTCAACAATGCAAAAACCCGCAATTACGTTTGTACCAACCTAATATAATGACTTCACCAGACAATTACCTAGTGTTTTGGACATCAGCAAACTCTGGTTTAGGAAATCCCACCCTTCCTGTAGGAATTCCTCTTCTTTGGGAACCCTGCTTGCCCTCATAGTCTCTTCCATCCTGTCCACCCTGAAAATTTGAACTTTCTCAGTATCCTTAATCTAAATCTGACAGGACACAGTGAGTCCCACCCACAGCACAGGAAGTCTGCCTATGCAACAGGAACTCCAGCTTACCCCAACAGGAAGTCCTATCCTCAGCTATTAGAATGATTTGATTATCATTTCAAATAATTACCTAGAGTTCTTTGCTTTGAACAGTGACTAAACTCAGGGATTCCATTTTGTGCCCCTTCCTTAACCTCCTTGTTCCCCATCTGTGAAAAAAGAAAAAATATTAGTACCTGTCTTCCTGGGGTTGTTGTGAGGGTTAGGTGAGCTAATCTATGTAAAGGGCTTAGCCCAGTATCTGGCATATTGTATTAATAAATGGTGGCTCTTTTAACTCTCCTAGCTAAAATTTGGGACAGGTGGTCCTCACCTTTGACCACCATTCCCCCCCCCAATAGTTATGGTCCCCACATTGAGCACTTGCTCTGTGCTCTGGAGCTGTGGCCCAATACTTGCCTGGGGTTTTCAGGAGGGGGTTGGGGGGAGATTCAGGCTCCTAATCCTCCCCACCCCCACAGTCTCTGCTGACACAGAAGTGGTGGGGGGAGATGGACAGCACCACACCCATCTGGGCCCTGGTTCTCGCCTTCTTTTGCCCCCCACTCATCTACACCAACCTCATCACCTTCAGGTCAGTCCCCTGGGGTTACATTGACAGGAGGGGGGTGCTCAGTTCCTCCTGCTCACTTCTGGCCACCTTTCTACTTGGTATGTCCAGTATTTCTCCCTTTGTTCACTCTCTTTCCCTCCCCCAGACTGAGGGCATGTTCTGGGAGGTGAGCTTTGGGGGGGGGGGCTCTCTGTATCTGTAGGGTCAAGTTCTCTGCCTTCTGTCATGGCTCTGGGGGAAGGTCCCTTTGGGGTAACTCTAGGGGGACACCTCTCTGTCTCCCTGCCATGTCTCTGGGTGAAGAAGTTGGGTATCTCTTGAGAATTTCTCTCTTTACTTTTCTCCCCATTTCTCACGCTGTGCGTTTTTCCATACTAGGAAGTCATATGAAGAGTCCACACAGAAGGACCTGGCATTTGACATGGATAGGGGACTCAATGGGGAAGGGCCAGCCAGGTGAGTGAAGCACCAGCTCTGTGTGAGGTGGAGCACCTTGGGCAGCTGCAGGAGCACCAGGTACTAGGAGCAAAGCCAGATGGGAGCAGTGGGGCTTCAGGAGGGAGCGGTTTCACGCATCCACTGAAGATACTGAAGAAGTTTCCCAAATGCTAAGCTCAAGACTTGGTTCAAGGTTTGGTTCTGCTGCCAAGGAGTTCCTCACTGGAAATCAGTTTGCTTCATGCTATGTGTACATCTCGATGTAGCAAATAGAATTGGTGGATTGCGTTCATTTAGGGATCTTTTGCCTATTTTTTTTTTCTGACTCCAGGACTTTTGCTCCTAATCTCTTTGCCGTGGTACCCATGAAAGGTATTTTCAAAATCAGGCCTAAGTAAATGAAATAGAATATATATCAATCTTCTGATAATCCTGCAGTGTAGAGGTACTGTGGGATTTGGCTCTAAGTCAAGCAGACCTGGGTTGACATCCTGAATTTGACTTTGGAAGTGACTTCACCTTTGAGCTCCAGCTTTCTTTTCTAAACAGAAGGTACATAGAAGGTTGTCCCTGTGTTAGGTTAGGTTGAGTAATGATACAATAACAAAACATCTGGCAACAATGAAGGTTTAGTTCTCACACTCCATTTGTGGGTTGGCTGAGGCTCTACGCCATGTGCTCTCCACTTTGGGATAAATGAGCACCTGCTAGCTGAGCTGTTCCTAGTCTCATGGCAGAAGGAAAAGAGACATGGAGAACCAGGTACTGGCTTTGAAAGCCTCCACATGGAAGTGACAGGTGTCACTTTTGTGTACATTTCATTGGCAAAAGCAAGTCATATAGTGACTCTGTAGCTCCTAATTCTCCCACTGGGAGGAAACCAAAGTATTTGGTGAACAGTAATATGATGTACCACAATGCCTGATGGAGCTGTTAAGAGGATTAATGGAGACAGCATATATAAAATGTGTAACGTAGTGCCTGGCACATAGTAAGTGCTCAGTTAATGGGGATTATATTTGCTACTGCTATTATGAATACATCTATTACTTATTTTGTTGAATGGAGTGTGTGTGTGTATATGTGTGTGTCAGGGTCTAAATCTATGGCTATAGAGAAACAGAGGAAGAGGCCCACATTTATACCCATCTTTGCAGCCCTCATTTCTACTTTAGCCACGTAAACAGGGAAAGGGAGAACCCTTGCCCCCCAATATTCCAGAAATAAAAATTTCTGGGAACTGTAAAACCCACTATATACCATGTAAAACAAGTAAAATTTAAATATATATGAACAGATTTTTTTTTCTGAGACAATGCACAAAGAATACAAAATATTTGTCAAGATATGAAACTAAGAACAAAATTTGGACCACTGAAAAAGGCTGGATAAAAGGTCCCCATGTCAGGATCAATGGTGATGTCTTTGTCTGGTGATTTCCCAACTTCTGTACCATGTGAGAGTAATGATGTCAGTGACAATAGCTGATGTTATAGAACACTTACAATGGGCAGCCATTGTGCTAAATCCTTTGGGAAATGAGTTAATTTAATTCTCTCAACCCTATACAGTAGGGCCTATTATCCCCATTTTACAGATGAAGTAACTGAGGCCTTAAATTACTTACCTCAGGGCATGTGACTGGTAAATGGTAGAGCTGGGATTTGAACCCAAGATCTTGTACCTGAATCTGTGCTCTTAACAAATGTGGAGAGCCACCTCCATGGAGGACTCTGTAAAAGGATAGATCCCTGGCTCCTCTCCCAGGGAAGCTTGGAGATGGGCCCAGGAATCTGTGTGTGACCTGGCTGTGAGTGATTCAAGATGGCAGTTGTTGGGATGCATTCTGATCTACCACACATTCTTATTCCCAGGACCCTGCAGCGGGTGAAATGGGAAATACAAGGGCCATGCGCCTTGTCATTAGGGAGCTTGTGCTCCTCTCTGCCTCTCACTTTCTTTAGCTTTTACTGTTCTTTCTGCTTATTTTCTTTAGAACAGCTCTATTGAGATAATTCACATAATTCAGTTCACCCATTTAAGGTGTACAATTCAATGGGTTTTAGTATATTCATAGAGTTGTGAAGTCATCACCACAATTAATCATAAACCATTTTCATGTAGCAGGAAACTTTGTACCCATTAAAAGTCACTCCCCACTCCCTTTTCCCCAGAGCTCCATGCTCCATGCAACCACTAATCTACTTTCTGTCTCTATGGATTTGCCTATTCTGGACATTTTACATAAACAGAGGCATACACTATGTGATCTTTTATGACTGGCATTGTTTATTTAGCATCATGTTTTCAAGGTTTACCCCATTGTAGCATGTATCAGAGCTTCATTGTTTTTTTTTGTTTTTTTTAAAGCTGAGCCATCCTGCCACCTGTTGGCAGCTCAGCGGCTGCTCAGCTCAGGCCTGGAATCAAACCGCTGTTGCTCAGAAAGCTTCATTGCTTTTAATTGCTGAATAATATTCCGCTGTCTAAAGAGACCACATTTTATTTATCTACTCATCAGTTGATGGATATTTGGGTGTTTACTTCTGGGTTATTTTCTGCTTGGTTCATAAAGAGAGGATGCCTCTCCAAACAAGTTCGTTAGCTTTCTGAATATATTATTAGTAGTATCATTCATTTCGGCATTTCTGATTTGAGGTCAGAAATAAGAGTCAGGATGAAACTGAGACACAGGATCAGGACTTAGGTGAGAAGGATCAGACATACGTGTGGACCAAGAAGGTCAGAATTCAGAAGCCAAATATGGCTGTCTGGTCAGATACAGGGAAGGAAGAGTTATAAGACAAAATTGGGCTGTATATTCAGATCTCCGAATCTGTGAGTCAGAGGATAATATTCAGGGACTGAGTTGTCAAATCTGGGGAGCTGAGGTCATGAAAGTGACGGGGTCAGACATCATATTTGAGGGTCAGAGATCAGGTAGATGGTCCAAGATTAGACATAGAGAGTCAGAGTGTGAAGGTGAAAGAAGAGGGAGCAGGAGTCAAAAGCCAGGCAAGGGTCAGAGGTCAGTCCAGGGGCCAGAGGTCAGAAGAGTGGAGGAAGTCATAAGTGGAAAGTCAGCCATTTTGATGGTTAGGAGATTTCAGAGGCCAGAGGTTAGATATAGGGGTCAAAAGTAAAAGGAGATGATGGACCTTAGACTTAGTTTCAGGTCAGGCAGGGTCAGAAGTCGTGAAGGTGGAGGAGGTTATATGAAAGGTTAGAGCTTGTGATAATGGTGAAGGTCAGGTTCAGAGGTCAGGTTGAAACTTCCTCTCTTTTCTCTCTCCCCCAGGCCAGCAGACCCCCGTGAGAAGATGCCCTTGGGGGGGGTGATGAGTCAGCCCAGCCGTAGGAGGTGCTCCCCACATTTGAGCCGCTGGCCCCAGTTCTGGGGGGCGCCGGTGACGGCCTTCATGGGCAATGTGGTCAGCTACCTCCTTTTCCTGCTGCTCTTCGCCCGGGTGTTGCTCATTGACTTCCAGCCCCCACCACCTGGTGCCCTGGAGCTGCTGCTGTACTTCTGGGCCTTCACCCTCCTCTGCGAGGAGCTCCGCCAGGGCCTGGGGGGTGACTGGGGCAGCCTAGCCACTGGGGGTCGTGGGCCAAGCTCCTCCCAGCCGCTGTACCACCGGCTGCACCTCTACATCACAGACACCTGGAACCAGTGTGACCTGGTGGCCCTCACCTTCTTCCTCCTGGGCGTGGGCTGCCGGTGAGTGCCCCTGTGACCTTCAAACCCCGGGCCCCATAGCGACTAAAACTAGCTCCACTTATTCTTTTTTTTTTTTAAAGATTTTATTGGGGAATTGGGGGAGGGGAACAACGTTGGGGAATCAGGGAAAGGGAACAGACAAGTTTCTGTCCTTTTTTTCTTCTTAAGTCTAGTTGTGGAGGATGTTGCTTCACTGGCCCATGTTGGTATTATCATGGCGCTCTTCCCGGGTGAGGCAGATCGGTCGCTGGCCACTGGATGGCCGCTCACGGCCGGCTCACGGCCGGCTCACAGCAGCTCACGCCGGCTGCCAGCCACTCACGGTAGCTACGGCAACCCATTGCAGCAGGGGCTGCAGCCTACACTGTCCCTGGTGACTTATGGCAGCACAGCTCCAGGTCAAGCTGCTGTTCACCATCTTAGCTGTAGAGGGCGCAGCATCACTGGCCTTAATGTGGGATCCGAACGGGGGCCCTGCTGCTCAGAGCTGGCGTCCCAAGCCAGCTCTTAACCAACGTGCCACTCAGCTGGCCTCCACTTATGGATATCTGGCTTCCGAGATGATAGGATTAAAGTAAGAACCCCACTGCCTCAGTTGCTGTTTATTCTAGATCTGGAGGCAACTGGATGTTTTTCTGAGCCCCCAAACCTGGCCCTTTTCAACATCACAGTCCCAGCTAAGCTTAGTTTCTTCCCCTGGACACCAGACAAGATGTTGGGCGCCACCCTCACCTCCTTCCCCCACAGCCTGAAGTCCCAGGCCCTGTCCTCCTGTCCCCTAATTCTCTGTTCCGTCCATCTCTCCATCTCCACTGCAGCCTCTCCCAGTATGCTCTGAGTATGGCTTGTGCTGTCTCTCTCTTCAAGTCACAGCTATCTCATCACTCAGCAACTTAAAGCATTTTTGAAATATAGTCTATTACCAAATAAGTGCAGAAATATATCCCCATTGAATAAGATTAAGCAAATGAAGGACATAGAGTAGAAACCAATGATTTTCCTCATTCTTTTCAAGAGCCCTCACTTTCTCAGCAGTTACCTCCATCAACAGTTTGGAGCACATCTTTTTCTATGCATTGACATGGACAGATTCACATTTTTCTTTTATACACAAATGACATTATATTTTATGTATTCTTCTGCAACTTTTTCTTTTTTTCTACAATATGTCCTGAAATTCTTTCTATATACTGTATTCTTTGAAAATGTTGCATCAGATTCCAGAAGAAGGGGTTTTAGCCATTGTTGGGTAAAGATCAGACAAGACAGACTTCTCCTTGCCAGAATTTAATGAATGAATGAATTCTTTACAAAAGGCAGTGAGACAAAAATTCTGAACTTCAAGAGACAGGAATTAGGGCAAAAGTCTCTCCACAAAGTCTCTTTCATTTTCTACTCAAGATAACATGAAGTTATAATCAGATACTAGCTACTTGGGGTACAGTACTGTGCTTTTTTTTTTAGCTTTTTCTTTTTTATAAAGTCATTTATAGCAGTTAGAACACTACTCCTTTTGAGGAGAGCAGACAAAGAACTTTGTGGACACAACCTGGGGATTATTTACAATGGATGAAGGGACCTGACACCCCTTTTTATAATCTGGATGGTTGACATCAATACCCCCTACTCTCTTCTCAGTTGACACACTGAGAGGCATGCTTCTTCCATGTTGTGTTAGAAATACTACCAAGTATTATGACATGAATAATTTATTTCAACACCAAGATAAAAGAGTTTTTGCAGAACACTATGCTTCTGTTTATTTCTTGTATTTGTATAAGGTATCTTTTGAGATAATAAGGTTAAAGCCATGTGCTACCATGCTCTAAAAATACTAGTGGTATTTTAGACATTTTGTCAAGCTCACTGTTTTCTAGGGAAGAATTATTGCATGGAGGAAAAAAATCCAAAGATCTCGGCTTACAATAGAGATATTTCCAGTGATCTCCAGAATTGCATGGATGAATCATTTTGTTTTGCCAATTCCTTCCAGATTGAGATTTGGTTGTTTCTAATTTTTTATTATTTCAAAGTAATAAAAGTTTACATCCCGGATTTAAACTTTGTGGGTCGAAGGGTACATATGTTCTTAAAGCCAATACATTTCCTTGTAAAATAGCTTCACTCATTTAAAAGCCCGCCATCAGGATAAGAGAGTGCCCCCTGAGGACATGCTTGACAATACCTGATGTTTTCAACCTTTAAAATTTTATAGCTCTCAATTTAATTTTACATTTTTTTTGCCAACCTGATGGACAGAAATGACCTCTCCTTTTAAAATGTATGCATCCCTGGCTACTAGTTAAGTTGGATATCTTTTCATAGTTAATGGCCACATGTACTTCTGTTAGTTGTCTTTTCATATCCTTTGCTCCTACTTTTTAAAATGTATTATGTTCATTGATCTTTTGCATATGTATATTTTTTGATAAGTGCTCTCCTTAAATTCTGGACCCTAATCATTGGTAGTTTTGTTCTAAATATCTTCTCACAGTCTGCAGTTTGTCTTTTCGCTTTTGTATGTTATCTTAGACATTCTTTTATTCTGTAACTTTTCATTCTGAAATAACCCGAAACTTATAAAAATGTTGCAAAACAATACAAAGAATTCCTGTACACCTTCCACCCAGATCCTCCAAATGTTAACATCTTACATTATCAAAACCAGGAAATCTTAATCAAATTTCACCAATTGTTCCACTGATGTCCTCTTGCTGCTCCAGGATCCGTGTTGCCTTTCATTTTCATGTCTCCTTAAACTTCTCCAATCTGGGGCAGTTCTTCAGAGCTTCTTTAGCTTTTATGATCTTACCACTTTTGAATAGTCCAGGCCAGGTGTTTTGTATAATTTGCCCCATTTGGTTTGTCTGATGTTCCCTCATGATCAGATTTAGATTATGCAGTTTTGGCAGAACTTTTTGCCTTTCTCTGTCCATCATATTTATGTTATCTTTTGATGCATAGAAAATTTATGTTTCAAGGTAGTCAAATTCACCAATCTTTTCATTTATTGTGATTCTCTATCCTGTAGATAAGACTTTTTTCCTTGTGTGACATCTTATCCTTTCTTAAGCTCATGAACAAATTCTATATTTTCTTTAAAAATTTTTAATGCTGTGCCTTTTACTCTAGGTTTTTGATCCATCCAGAGTTTAAATACATGATAATGCAAAATAAGGATATAATTTTTATCTTCTCCAGAGAGATTGCTGATGTGCTTGGCCATTTAGCCTTCCTCTGTGAATTGTGTGTTGGCCTTTATC